CTCACTCACCCCCTTCTTCTCCCTCTCCCTCTCCCTCCCCACCATCCCCCAAAAAGGCATCACCACAACCCCACAGGCACCCTATCGTTCCGGGATCGGGCTCTTCGCCAACCTCCCCCCCGCGCTTACCCTCTTCTGCAGCCTCGCCTCCCTCTCCCTTTGCAGCTTATCCCCCGGGCTCAACGTCGACCCCGCCGGCAAGGAACCAACCCCATCATACGACCCCCCTCCTGCCCCTCCTGCCCCGGAAGCCTCAATCGCCGCCTTCCTCCCCCTCTTCAGCTCAATATACCCCTGCGCAGCATGGCTCAGCGGAATCTGGGGCATCTCCGCCGGAATTTCGGCCCCGTTCTGCACAAGCAGCTCCGCGATGGGGAACGGGATAAGCTTGTCCACCGTCGGTGACGGACCAGGCGTGACAGGCGGCGACATTGGCGCTGGGTCAGCCGCCGCCAACGCCAGATACACCGCGTGCGTGCCGCGGGACTTGTCCGTGACGTTCGGGTTAGCCTTGAGGGCAAGGGCGTAGATGACCTGCTGGATGTCGTTCCTCTTGATCGCAGCCAAGAGCGTCTCGTCTGCCGTGGCGAAGCGTGACAGCGTGGTGGAAATGGGCTCGACAAACGCCCTGTCGACGTATTTTGACGTGATGAACTTGAGTCTCTGCTCACGGGTCGCCTGGGCGGTGAGTTTCATGGCAGGGTCCAGCTTGGCTTCAAACACCATGTTGGACACCCTGTTGCCTACAAGAAACAGCAGCTCGATAATGTCGGGCGTGAACGAGGTGGTGTCGAGGGTGAGGGATCGAATCTTGCTGATGTGCGTCCCGAGGGACCGGTGGATGCCGCTGCACTCGATGCAAACAATGATTGCCAGGTTGAGCGAGACCCATTCGACCTTGTTGCTCGAACCGCAGTCGGCACACCACGAGTTGCCCTGATCGTTGTCCCGGAGTAGCTGGAGGAGCCTGTCTGGCCGTTCCTCAAAGCTGCTGCTGCGCGCCGTCGCTGGGCGGGCGCCGACAGTCGTGCGCCGGGTTGGGATCCCCCCAGAGTTGTGATGGTTGCCGTGTGAGAGGGACGGACTTTTGCCAACAAACATCGAGCCAAAGTCCATACCGCTGAAGCTCGAGTCGCCGGGGGCTGTTGATGGCGGTCTGTCCTTAAAAGAGCGACCTTCAACAGCGCTCTGTAATGCATTATTGATAGCCATGATCCAACTATTCATATCTTCTTCAGATGTTGCTTGATAAACGCGCTTGAAATGTGGCGTGATGACTTCGAAGCAGAACCGGCGTTCCGCATTCCTTGCCTCTCGTACTGATGCCAGACGCAAATCGATCGGATCCATGTGGAGGTCAAGCCTCTGTTTCCAGTTGCTATACTCGGACAACTTGCCTTGGTCCAGGACAATCCAGAATCTCGGAGAGTGTCAGTGTATTGTAATATTGATGGGATAGTGTGGGTCAACGTACTTGTGCCAGCCCTGCTTGTTGAGATTTCGTGGATCTACATGTCCACCTGGCCTGTTCAAGGCCCACAGGAGGCCTTCCTTGCGGTTGGAGGTCTCCTTTTCAAGCTGCGCTATGTGCCCAGGGTCGCGTTCCTCAAGGTCGCGGATTCCCTTGAATTTAGCATTTTGTTGGGGGCTACCCACGACATGTTGCGTCAGGCTCCCAGGAGACCTCGTCAGGTCCGCAGGAGAGGCACCCATGTTTCCTGACGGGGTTGGTTTGAGCTGGGAGCCGGTACTATTCGCACGACCGAGCTCAGAGTCAGAATTGGCTGGGTTTCCATTGGGAGCACCCCCCTCTCGCGGTCCGGCCGAGGTGAGCGGAGGTTGAATGTCTGGTTCATTGTAGTTGAGATTGCTCTTCTCGAGCAGTCTTCTCTTCTCCTCGCGTTCCCGGCGCTGATACTGATACTCCTTATCCGCCTCCAAAACTTCGGTGGATAGTGCTTCGAGCTGTGGCAGTAAGTCTTCAATCTTCTTTGAAGTGTTGAGAAAGCACCTGGCCTGGGCATCGGCATATTTGGTAAGATGCGAAAGAATTTCCTGTTCCTTGCGCCCGCCAGATAGATCCTGCATAAACGAGGAATAATCAAAACGTTTTAGTTCGAAATTCTTCCGTTTGGTCTGGTACTTGGTGTCGCTCTGTTTCGCCTTGACGGAATCGTGTCTCTGGCCGAGGTAGCGGCTAACATAGGCGTAAAAGTCTTTACTTTCCTCTTCGAAATCCCGCTTCTTGGATTCGGCCTGTTTGATGTCGATCTGGTATAACTTGCTCATCGGTTCAATCACAATCCTTTGTATATTCGCCGTGTTCTGCCGCTCATATGATAGAATCTCGCGGGCGATCTTGTCAAAGTAGTGCTCAATGGCTGGCTTGACGGCGTTTGCGTTGGTTGAGGACACGTCTTTCAAGGCTTCCATGAAAGCCGCAAATGCATCGTTGGCCTCCAGTTGCGCAGCATGGACATTTTCGGCCTTCTTGATCAAACGCTTCATCTGTGATCGCATATTGCCTGTCTTTTGCTCGAGAGCCTTCATGGTTGCTCGGAAAACGGGACCATCATCGGAAACTGACATATCCTCACCGGGGCGTGGGCAGTCGACCTTGATTTGCTCCTTTTGTTGGGTTGGTGCCGGAGAAGGCGCAGGCAACGGTTCATGAGATATGGTGAGTGGAGAGACTAGCTCTTCGAGCTCCGGCACTGGACTGATTCGAGCTTCGACCGATTGTGAAGACACTACGCGGACCTTTGGTGGAGCGCTCAGCAGAATGGGTGGTATTGGGGAGCTTGGTTGGCTCAGGTAAGGCGATGTGTCTGGAGATGTAAGCCGCGGCCCCGTGATAGAAATGATACCGCGAAAACATAAGACTTACTGGCCACATAGAAAGAAAATATAGCCAGGGGTTCCAGTCGGTGTGCGCGCTGGTCGTACTCGACAAACTAGGGGAGCCTCGTTAGCACCCTCCAATATGGCAAAGCGTTGTGAGAGCACGAACAGTGCATGAGTTTCGCCAACCGCCTCCTTTATCCTCGTTGTGCTTTGGTGGTTTCCATTTCCAAGTCCAGTCAAATGTTACCGAGGGACTTCCCTCTGTTGAATATGTTCCAACAAGCTCGACATTGGGGTTCTTGTGCAGGTTTGGATCGGCGTGGAATTCTCGAGTAACCAAGTTCTCAACTTCGCGGGCCGTTGGAGCATACACAAAGGTAAGCCCTTGGATGTTTGTATCGACAGGAGCTACGGTATCAGCACTTCCTGAGGGACTTCGAACGAGCTGCTGCGATCTGCGGAGGACGAAGGTGAAGGTGAAGACGAGGTCGTCTTCGTTGTTGAGCTTCAACAAGAAGGCCGGACCGGCTGCAGAGCTGATCGATTCTGGGTCCTATAGGCAAACCCAAGTCAGCCATGTCCATCATGGCAAGCTTATATCATGGAAAAGGGGCGCGAACCAGGACAAAATCGACAGGACCATTGTCGCCAGACGGCCGCATTGCGGATATTCTGGTCGCAGGATATGCATTCGGGACTATGTTTATTGAAGTGCGTTTCCTGGGGCTAGTTATTACGACTGAAGAAATAGATACTGAGAAGAGAAAGCAGTTAGCAAGAAGTGTTTACACAGGTGTTTGGCGCAAGACAGGGGCGAACGTGGCTGCTGTTGGTCAAGCAAGACAAGAGGAACCTACATCTGTTCTGGTCTCTAAGATAGAGCGATGCGCCCTCTTCGGGAGAGCTGCTGACGTTGCCCATCGTGACGGTGGGAGTGCTGGGAGCGGGCGCCGCTAATCATGCGAAATGTGTAAAGGGGCTGCGGTGTCGACAGGAAGCTGGGAAACAGTCGGCCGGTAGGTATTGCGAGGACAGGAATGGTGGATGGAAATCCAAACGAAGTTTGGCGGCAGCGGCTCTCAGCGGCGCGGCGGGGTTGCCTTCCACTAGTTCACTGGGGTCTGGGGGTCTGGGTCGGAAGGGGCGCCGCGCACGCAGCATGAGAGGTCTCTGAAACCCTGCAACCTGGAACCGCACACCCCCGGAGGTACGGATCGGCCTCTCTGTATGACCAACTACTTCCTACCAGCTCAACGGCCACTTTCAGTCCACGGCACACGGGACTAGGTTGGTGCCCCCCCAGGTACCATTTAGAGAGAAACAAAGATATGATTTGCTACCCCTCGAGATTCGACAATTTCTTCCATCGGAAACAAAGGCGGTTTTTACACGGAGAAGGTTGTCCGGGTCGTTGTTGCTGCAGGTACTTGCCCAGACACGGGACATGGTCCGTTACATATTTCAACTCCAAAGTGGTTAGGTATACCGCCTCGGTATCTTTGCCTGCCTACACCAGGCACCACTTCACCTGCTCTGTCTCTCGGTGATCCTTTACGGGATATGTGTATCACCCTCACGAACGTCATCTGCTCGCCAAGCCATGTGATGGTCCGTGTCACGACTTTCACACATCCACCAAGTCTTCACTGGCAGGGGCTTCGGTTCAGAGTCGCACGAACACGTTGCCCCTGGAAGCTGAGACGTGAGACCTCTGTGCCTCTTCGGGACCACGAGACGGGGCATATTATTTTCAGCGTTGCCGTTGGGTTGACCCGCGCCCTTGGCCACCGGGCCCCGATCGTTGACCACCGATGAACAGTTGCATATGATGTCAGAGGTCCAGAGGCCCCTCCCGCATTATAATAATAATAGCACTTAATACGAAGTGCTCGTGAGGTCGTAGTGATCAGCTGCCGTATATATGCGTTGATGAGAACAGGCGGTTTTCCATCTCCCAGCCATGAAAACTGCGAGACACTTCGAAATTCACGAAAAGAACACACCTCGAGGTACTTCGTAAAGAGTGGGTTCTCCTTTGACTGGCATCTGATCCATCCAAGATGCAGTTGCAGGTTGACAGCCAGGGGACGGGCTTGGAGAACAGAGGCTAAAAAGCGGGGCAACGAGCTTGACAGACAAAGCCAGCCACGTGAGAGCCACACAGCCCTCTTCCGATGGTGGTCTCTATTTTGAGCTAATGAAAGAGAGACGAGGTTCCAGCCTCGCGAGCTGGCCTGGTCTAGAACAATTGCCAAAGAGCTGGGAGAGACTCCGAGCCAGATACAGGTCCTCCATATGTCGTAGGTCCGGGGACTATCTGTAACTCTTTGTCTGCAAGGGAGAGTTGCTTGACGTATCAAGTGATCAGCGAGGAAGCTAGCAGCGAACCCCAAGAAGGCAAAAAAGAGGGGTACAACTGTTTGACTTTGACACTAAAGCTTCAGCTGGCAGGACTGATGAACAGCTTTGTTAAAACCCAGTAGCGCTGACAGCAAAGCAAATAGTTGCCGCTGGCAGAAGCTGTGTATGCTCCAGGCTACCTACTCAGTGTGATTCATGTAGGATTGGATATCTCACCATTACGGGAATTTAATGCCAGCAAGGACAGGGTGTTAGGTCCTAGGTAACACCCAACATGCTGGTCAGCTAGTGGGAGCTACGGCCCAAATCCAGCTACCTAACAACCCCCAGTTCTGCTGCGGTTCTCTTTATTATAGGGGGCGTCTCATGCTTGGGCGGGCGGCTATGACGTTTCTAAATCCAACCACACAGCAACCTCTCTTCACTTCAACACGCCAGGCCACACGAGCAACAACAAAAACCCCGACTTGTTCTCGCCGTCTGCCGCACGCGCCGATACTCGTTTCTATACTGGACCGAACCCTCGTGCGATTGACTTTTGGGCCCCCGGACATTGCCAGACTACTCTCTGCAGTACCGCAAACTCACCGCGGCGAGACTTGGTTATCATTTTGGTCGGGCTTCGAAACCGCCATGCCGGGGCGGGCTTGACTTATCAGCCGACTGCCACCGCCGTTCACTCCCCCCCGAATATACGTGAACCCGTTCGCTACCACGAGTTCCCATCATCATGTCGCACGCCTCGCGAGCCTCGTACTCCCAAACCAACCGCCGGGTTGGCAGCCTCGGTCGAGCACCGTCGAGAGCCCGCGCGCCGACAATCAGCTACGACGATGCGTACTCCTTCGCCCTGCGCATCGCCTTTTTGAACTACCTCCTCCAGCCGCGCAAGAAGAGAAAGGAATATGTCAACACGCCAAAGCCGCCCCCGAGGGCGCATACCTCGAGCATGTCGGAGCTGATGAAGGACTTGACCGGGTCGGCCTCTATCAAGCTCCCCCACGCGTTCCGCCAGTTTCTGGAGAGACGGATGTCCGGTGTGCTGCAGGGGATCGAGAGGCTGCCCGGCTTCAGCGATGCTGCTGTCAAGAGAACCTTTGCGGAGGCGTACACTGCCTTCACCGCCAAGGACTTTCAGAAGTCGATTGACAAGGATCGGAAAGTTGAGCCTCTGGTGCTGATCTTTTACTCGGCCGCGACCAAGGCCCAGGGGCGTGGAAAGGCCCCGGATGATCATTCTTGGAAATACATGGTGGACAGGCATCTGGCCATGTTTATCAGGCTGCTGAGCAGTATCCTCAAGGACCTGGGGAGTGAGAAGTCGGACCTTATTGCACGCCTGAATACGCTGGAGAAGAAGCTGATGACGAATGACCAAAACTTGTATTTGGATACTGGGCAGGAGGAGCACAAGTATGTGGAAAAGGATATACCGCTGACCTACGAGGTCAAGGACATGTTGATGGTCCAGACGGTTGCCAAGATATTCGGGGTGACCAATTCCCAGGTACAGAGTGACATTGACAGGAATATGTCGAGCTGGACCGAGGACAATGCTTTGAAGGATTTCAAGGGGTACCAATTCAGGCTCTCGGCAGGAATGGCGGGGACGCTGCGGAAGTCGGATTTCGATGTGAACGAGGCCTTTGAAGAATGGAGGCGGCAGGAAGGCCCCCATTTGGCAAAGATTTTTTCCGAGCTCTTGAGCGTTCGACCGGATTTGAAAGGAGGGTCTGGTGCTGGGAACGACAAGGTGCTCTCGGCGCGTCCAACGTCCATGTATGAAGATCAGGCCTATGCGGACCTGGGGAGGATGCTGTCCAACAATGATCCTGGATCTCCTGTTACTGGCTTCGACCCGTCATTTAGCTTTGGGTCGCTCTCGCTTGAGGATACGAGCAGCATACGGAGCGTGGATGAGCCAAGTTATACTTTCATCCCGCAGGATCCCCGTGCTGTCTACAAGATCATCACTCAGTATGTTTTATCCTACGATGAGATGCACGCCGCGGATTCTTCCTCACCGCTGAACGAGGAATCCAACGATCTTCTCGTGGAACTGGCGGTTCGATGGCGGATTCCACAATTCACCCGCCATGTTGTTCTCATTGAGGTTGCGACTCGCAAGTTTCTCGATACGGAGATCACTGCGGAGCAGCTGTACACTTATCTGGACTTTGTCAAGGAACCCCAACCGGAGCCGAAGAAGGTGCCTCCTATCTATCTGTTTACCTCGGGCCTCAGTGAGATTGAGTCCAGCAAGTGGACGATGGTCGATTTTGCGGGCTACCAACAGGCACTGCGAGATCTACACGAGGCCCTCCTGCGGGAGCTTTACACTCTCTTGTGCCAGTGCTACGCCCCCAAACCTCCCTCTGTCGGTGTCGTAATGGCCTTGCTCATGAACCACATCTACAACGATCCTGCCTTCTCCCAACGGCCGGAGGACGAGGCAGAGTTTTCTCAACAGCTCGAAAACGGCCTGCGCGAAGCGGCGGGTGATGCGTACAGGGGGTTCTTGGATGTGCACATCCCTCGGAACCAGCAAGAGTGGGACTTTGCCAACGTGGTCAACCTCGGAAAGGCCGTGGTTGGGCTGGCAGAGAAGATCAAGAAGCGGTACCGCAAGAACCCGGAAGTGATGGGCGTCAGCCCGTTCAAGGTCCTCGTCGAGACCACGTTCCCCAGCTTCGAGGAGGACACGCACGAGATCATCAAGCGGGTGCTGGACATGGCGAAGCAGCAGAACGTCGAGATTGACCTGCAGGACGGGTTTGACTTGTACAAGGAGCTGGTCGAGATCCGAAAGATTCATCTCGAGTCGCTGCCTGACAAGCCTTTTGCGTTTCACATTGAGAGCTTGCTGGAAGGGTTTGTGTGGAGGTGGATTCAGAATGCGGAGGAAAAGATGACGCAGTTTGTCGAGTCGGCTATCAAGCAAGATCAGTTCAAGGTTAGGGTGAGACATGAGGGGGATATCCCGACTGATGAGGAGAGGCACAGTCATTCGATTATTGACACTTTTACGCTGTTTAACCAGACGGTCGATCAGGTTTATCAACTGGGGTGGAACGATGAGGTGCATTTGGCGAGGTTTATGACGAGTTTGGCCAAGGCGTTTGCGGCGGGGATTGGGAGGTATTGTGAGATTGTTGAGCTGCAGTTTGCGAGGGAGATGGATAGGCAGAGCGCGCAGGAGGCGGCCAGGGAGAGGACGGCGCAGGAGAAGTTTTTTCAGTATGCGAAGGAGGCGTGGAATACGAAGGAAAGGGTTGAGCCTTTTCAGTTTTATCCCGAGGTCAGTTTTTATCTCTTTTGCGATCAAGGTTGTTGATGGGGGGAGTTTGCTAATGATGTTTTTGGTTTGCAGTCTTTTGTCAAGTTCAACAATATCGAGTATGCCATGCAGGCGCTCGATAAGCTGGAGAAGTTGATGAATGTTGATCGCTGCGCGGAGGTGCTGGATGAGGTTGACGGTCCTAAGCAGATGGTCAAGCGGCCGGCTCACTACGTGTTTACGATTAAGATCGTCGAGGGTGAGGACCTGAAGGCGTGCGACCCGAACGGGACTAGTGATCCGTATGTGGTGCTTTGTGATGAGTATCAGAAGCGTCTGGCGAAGACGAGGGTGATTCCCCGGACGCTGAACCCGCGGTGGGACGAGTCGGTTGACATCACTGTGTCAGGGGCGCTGAACGTCATTGCCACTATTTGGGACCATGACATGTTTGGCGAGCACGACTTTGTGGGCCGGACGTCGCTTAAGCTGGACCCGGTACACTTTGGTGATTACTTGCCGAGGGAGTTCTGGCTGGATCTTGATACCCAGGGGAGGATCTTGTTTAGGGTGACGATGGAAGGTGAGCGTGATGATATCCAGTTTCACTTTGGGAAGGCGTTTAGGCATCTGAAGAGGACGGAGAGAGATATGGTGCGGAAGGTCACGAGCAAGGTAAGATGAGCCTAGAGAAGCAGGTTAAGATCAAAGAGGATGCTGACAATCTCTAGCTTACCATGCATATTAACGCTTCGCTGTCTCATGAAGCGTTACGGAACCTCTTGAGCAAGGGAATTGCCGCTTCCATGGCCAGTCTTTGGAAGAAGAAGCAGGCTAGCGCGCCACCAGTAACGGCAGCTGAGATCGAAAATACTCTCCAGCCGCTCTTCACCTACTTTGACGAGAACTTTGCCATCATGAAGCAAACACTGACGGATGCCACCATGATGGCGGTCATGACACGACTGTGGAAGGAAGTGTTGCTTGCCATTGAGAACCTGCTGGTGCCTCCACTGTCGGACAAGCCCTCGAACCAAAAGCCCCTCACTCAGACCGAGATGGACGTCGTCTACAGATGGCTCGAACTCCTGTTCAACTTCTTCAACGCCAGGGATCCCGAAACGGGCGAAGTATTGGGAGTACCGGCCGATGTCCTCAAGTCGCCTAAGTGGCACGAACTGGCATCGCTCAACTTCTTTTACTTTGACTCGACGGAGAATCTGATCAGGACTTCGGAGCGGATGGTGGCGGCTAATATGGAGCGGGCTAAGCTCCAAACGCAGCAAGCTCACCCCGCCCTGCCGAATCGTCTTTCGGCCCCGGCGTCTCTGGGAGGAAACCATCTCAGTGTGGCCAATGCAGGCTTTGGCAGTTTGGGCACGATCAGGCGCGGCAAGAGTATCATGATGAGCCGCAACCTGGGGACGATGCGCAAAGCCAAAGAGGAGAAGCGGAAGGAGATGCAGGCGGATCCGAGCGATGATATGATCATAAGGATCCTGAGGATGAGGCCCGAGGCGGTCAACTACCTCAAGGAGCGCCAGAGGCAAAAGGAGCGGATGGCGGCGAGGCAGCAGGCGGCGAATATTGTGCGGCAGAGCGTGCACCAGGGGTGGAATAATGGGCCAGCGTTTGGAGGAGCCTTATATGGGAGGAATAATTTGCCGCAGCGATGAAGAGGAAAGAAATGGGGTGGATATAATTACGGGTGTCTTTTACTTTTGGGGATTGTTCGAATGCAAGGGGTGTTTCTGGCTGTTTTTTGGTGGAATTCGGTGTAGGAATGGAAATGGCAGCGTGTTTATGAGAGGGTTGATGAGCCGGAACCGGGATGGGGGTTTCTGTTGTTCTTCCTGGATGCGTATATCAATTGTTATTGGAATAATATCTATTTTCCTTGCATGTTGTTGATGACTTTCGACAAAAAAAGGGGCTGAATAGGGGGAAGTGACCATGGTCTTCCATGCCAAGCCCAACGGGGTCTGGCGGGGTTATCTTTTTGCTTGGCTCCACCTCAGCAACGTCAAGCTAAGCTCACCGGTAGTCGTCCAGAGGTCGGGAGAGCTACCGAAGCTGAGCTGCACAGCCGATACCGCTCCCGGGCTGGCGCAACTTGTCGGTCAATCGGAACTGGGTTAGGCACTGAGACGCGGGAAAGCAAAAGAATTCTTGGGAGGCACTTTGAGTGACGAGCTACAGGGCTACGAGGGAACGAGCTACGAACCTCGGCCAACAAGGCTATCGAAACCCATTGACGATTGACGATAACAAAGACTGTTCTCCTCTGCACATGTTGGCCCTCCAAAGGCTGCGGCAAACGCAGCAGTCACCCGCTCGAGTAGCGAGAATATTCCCAACCTCGAAAACTGCTTTTACAAACATGCCGCCACACCAGCAGCTGCAACCCCGCCCGAGCCAATCACAGGCCCGCTCGCTGTCGTCACACAGTCTCCCCACCTCCACCGCTGGGAGAGGAGCCCCTCCTTCAAATCCCTCGACCTCCTTCTCGCAACAACCTCTTGCGCGGACAGCCCAGATTGCCCGACACCTCTCCACGTCCACCAGCAGTCAACCGTTCGACAAAATGGCCTACTCCATCCGCAAGGTCGGCGCCCCCTACACCCTCGAGCACCGCGTGTACATCGAGAAGGATGGCGTCCCCGTCTCCCCCTTCCACGACATCCCCCTCTATGCCAACGCCGAGAAGACCATCCTCAACATGATTGTTGAGATCCCCCGCTGGACCAACGCCAAGCAGGAGATCTCCAAGGACGAGCTGCTCAACCCAATCAAGCAGGACGTCAAGAAGGGCAAGCTCAGATTTGTTCGCAACTGCTTCCCCCACAAGGGGTACCTCTGGAACTATGGTGCCTTCCCTCAGGTATGATTTGGTTGTTGTTGTTGTGGCCCAACGGCTGCCTGAGAATATACATGCTGAAGTGTGATATAACAGACCTGGGAGGACCCCAACGTTGTCCACCCCGAGACCAAGGCCAAGGGCGACAACGACCCGTTGGACGTCTGCGAGATCGGCGAGCTGGTTGGCTACACCGGCCAGATCAAGCAGGTCAAGGTCCTCGGCGTGATGGCTCTTTTGGACGAGGAGGAGACCGACTGGAAGGTCATTGTCATTGACGTCAACGACCCCTTGGCTCCCAAGCTCAACGACGTTGAGGATGTCGAGCGCCACCTCCCTGGTCTTCTGCGGGCCACTAACGAGTGGTTCCGCATCTACAAGATCGCTGACGGAAAGCCCGAGAACCAGTTCGCTTTCACTGGCGAGTGCAAGAACAAGAAGTGGGTTTTTATTTAGGCCGTCAAGCTGTTTCTGGTGGTGTAGAGAGCTAACAATGGGCCAAAGGTACGCGATGGAGGTGGTTGAGCAGTGCAAACCGCCTGGGAGAAAGTGATCAGGGCCAAGGCGGCCGCGGCTGGCATGGGCACAGGCAAGCTCAGGGTTGGGCAGTGGCAGAGGGGCCGGCGCGCTGAGCAGGGGGGGGGGCTGGGGCAGAAGCAAGAGCTGGGGGCTGCTGCCATTCACGGCAGCATTCACAAATGCTTCTTCATTAGGGCTGCTTGTGCTT